TGTTTATTATGAAATTCAGTTAATGTACGCATTGGTGTTTGAGCAAGAACAATTAGTTCAGGATGAATCTATATTAAAATATACGTCTTATTTAAAAGATCGAATGAATTAGAAAAAAGAAACTCACAGTAACTCCAAGTACAGCTGAAAGTTGTTTAGCTTTATCTGATTCAAGCATACATGTATTTGAAACAAATATAACAGGTACATTGAGTTGAATCAATGTTTGAATAGCTGGTTTAGCAGCTGCAATAAAATTTGGACCTTCTGTAATGGCACCATCAATGTCAAAGAAACAGGCAAAACTTGGCTATTCAAAATAAATAAATATATGAATAACAATGAAGCAGATAATCTCAAATATTTATTTACTGGCTTCATAATCGAAAGTTTGTATTATAATAAATGCTTGTGAATATTGTTTTGAAAACAAAATTTTATAATAAAGACAATTTTTTTTCTGAGCATAACTGAGCAAATCCGCAGCATTTATATACTCGTATCAACAGCAGAAAAGACTCATGAGCAAGAGATAGCCTTATGATCATTTTGTATTTTGTTCTCTACTCAAATGATATATACGTTCTTTCTCGGAACATATATTAACTGAATGATTTCATTTTGTGCTTGCTATATTCTTCTCTTCCTATCTGTACTATAACATGGTGATAGTGGTAATACTACAAAGATAAAGAATAAAGTACAGAGTTCTTTTCTTCCTGTTTCTATTTTTCTTTCAGCACGCAAATAATAACGATTCTAGTATGTTCTACATTTCATATATAGGACACTAGAAAATAGAAAAGTCCAAGGACGCATAAACACACCTTCCATCAATGTTTGAATTATGACAGAAAGCAAATCTATTCTATCATATGAATTTCAATATCAAATGATTGTCGAGTAAGAAAGAATTAATGCAATGTATACAGGGCAGTTGAATGTTGTTTATTCTTTCGCAAAAATGAATAGTTTTAGTATTAAAATACCACATGAAATTTTATACAAATTACTTAACAATAACGGCTAAGATATATGATTTATTGAATACTATATACGTACAGGTGTCGAATTTGCTCTTTGCTTCGAAATAATGTCGATATTTTTATATTTACAATGATCCTTTTACTAATTTAGACTCTAGTTTATTTTTAATATATAAACTATTATGATTGATCCGTGCCGTATAATAACGGTTAGAGACTAGAATTGTTATTTACTAAAGTCATGTAATAAAACTCAGTTATCTTTGTGAGACTTATTGATATTATTTATCATTACTTATGGAAATCATCAGAGAGAGTAGTTTAGTTTAAAAAAATTATCGTAGTATTCATCAGTCTTTTTTTATTTCAGATTATGTTAAGTAACAATGAATATGAATAATATCGGTGTCACATGATGATACTGTTGAGTTTAAGAAAAAAGTGTTATTTCATCTTTATTGACTACGAAAATCATGTACACGATAATATCTGAATAATACATTAAACAAAGAAAGAAAGGAGTGATTTGATTGTATCGAATGTTTTCTCTACCCTTGTTGTGACATATGTAGAAAAAAAACAGCAATGAATTCCTAGTGTAAAAAAATCGGCCTAAAAATAAGGTTAAAAAAGATTTTTCGAACAATAATCATGAAAAATCGATTGTTTACGATTAAATTTAACAAAATGATCGATTTTAATTGATTCTTTTTTCATTTTAATGAATGTTAATCCATTAATATGATAATTGTCCAATCGCTCTTTGAAGCAATTTATGTAGGAGTTCCAAATCTAGTATACTTGTCTAGCATTAGCTTAGTGACAACTACATAGTTTCTAGGTGTGTGGGTCTTCTTTGTCGTAACAGAA